CACCCAGAAACATTTCACATTTTCTTTTATACACTGCACAGGTACATATTTATTTCAGGTACTTATATAGCACTGTCAATTTATGCAGCACTTTACATATATATATATATATATATATATATATATTGTACATTAGTCTCTAACCCTCAAGGGGTGTACAATTTAAGATGCTTTGGAGGCTGCTGCAGGTATATGCAGGCATCCCTATCTATCTGCACTTTACACCAGCATGTGTCAAAACCATCATTCACTGCTTTGTAAATATGACCTGCAACAGCCCAAACATATACAGGTTGTTTGCACTTACTTCTAGATTGGGTGAGGTGATTGTAGCCGTATTAGTGCATTTGCAACAGAAACAATTGAGTAATGACGTGATACTTTTTTTATTTGCACTAACATACAATTTTGAGGACAAGCTTTCGGGGAATGTCCCCTTCTTCAAGGTCCAGGCAATACTACTTAACAAAGTTTTAGCAGAATGTTGGAAGAGATGTGGGGGATGAGAAAATAAAGACTAGAGATAAGACACAGCAAAAGCAAAGACTGGGGGGGGGGACAACACTCACAGAGGGGTCATAAAACTGTTGGATAATGATTGAGGAATCCCATGTCTAAATTAAGGTCGTTATCTCTTGTGTCAAATAGAATTATCATTCTTAGTTCAAAAGTTTTTCTTTTCTGAATGGATTTGAAATTTCCTTTCAGAACTAAAATATTGAGATCTCCCATAGTGTGGTCTGGTTGTGCAAAATGGTGTCCCACAGGTGTGCAAAAGTCATCTTCTTTATGTTCCTTGATGGTATGTCTGTGCAAATTCATCCTTGTTTGCAACTTCTGTCCTGTTTCGCCAACATAAGATCCTTTGCTGCATTTTCTGCACTGGATAAGGTACAAAACATTACTAGAGGTGCAGCTGTATGATCCAGAGATATTGAAGATCCCTTATGAGTGTCTGACGCTTTTTGATGGATTGATTTGGTTTGCACAGTTTGCAGCATTTTTTTATCACAGGGTTTGCTTCCAGTATTTGTGACATCTTGATCAGAAGGAAAGTTTCCTACTGATTAGTTTATTTCTGAGGTTGGGGGGTTGTCTGAAGGCCAGTATTGGTGATTGCTGGTATATTTCTTTCAGAGTTCCATCCTCTGTTTCGATGGGTTGTAAATATATGATTATTTTTCTTATTCCCTCTAGTGCTGGGTTGTATGTGGTTACTAGAGGCACGCGGTTGTTGTTTGTTTTTTTCTCTTTGTACTGAAGTAGATTTTCTCTTCGGGTTCTCAAAGCTGTGTTTATGCTGGTGTTGATAGTTTTGTCCTTGTAACCTTGTGACCTTGGAATCATCAACTTGTCAAATCATAAACTTTCTGAACCAGAATTAACCATCCTCTCCAAAGGCCTTACATTCTGCCCAACTACCAAATTGGATCATTTACAATTATTGTCAGATATGGAGGATTTCTTCAGGAGACTAAGGCTCAAAGAATATTTCCACAGCATTGAAAGGAATCCTAGGTCAACGGAATGCTACACAAAGAAAAAGAACAGCTGCTTCACACCTCCACAAGGACGCAACCCCAAACTGGACACCTATATTGATAGCTTCAGACTGCGAGCTACATCCCTGATATCCACCCAGCAAAAGAAAATTCTGTACAATCTTTCACCACTGGAGCGAAGGGCTATACACGATTTGCGCAACAATCAGGCCATCACCATCAAACCAGCGGACAAAGCGGGAGCAGTTGTTGTGATGGATACAAACAAATACATACAAGAAGGCCAGAGGCAGTTGGAAAATGCCATTTACTATAAAAAACTGGATTATGATCCGACCCAGGACTTCACAAAGCAATTAAAAGGTCTCATTAAAACACTTCCAGCCCACCTACATTCAGAACTTATAAATGCGATACCGGATCATCCAGAAATCGGAGACTTCTACATGCTGCCCAAAATCCACAAGCCAGGAAATCCAGGCAGACCCATAATAACAGGTATGAATACACTCACCGAACAAATCTCAGGCTTTGTAGAAATAATTTTAAAACCAGTTAGTCAAGAATACTGCTAGTTTCCTGCAAGACACAACTGACTTTCTGAACAAGATCAACAACATACAGCAATTACCATCTAATACACTTCTAGTGACCATGGATGTAGTATCCCTGTATAGTAAATACCCTCACAAGGATGGATTAGCTGCATTTCACAGATCCTTATCATCCTCACCAAACCATAAATATACTGCTGAGGATGTTACGCAGCCCATTGAATTCAGACTTACACACAACTACTTTACTTTCAATAAAGACATCTATCTTCAATGTATGGGCACTGCGATGGGAAGTAAAATGGCACCCCAATATGCCAATTTATTTATGGCTGATCTGGAGGAAAAATTCCTGAACAGCATGGAACAAAAACCATACAGATACTATCGCTATATTGATGGTATTTTCATCATATGGACAGAAGGTGAAGAATACCTAAAACAATTTTACTCATTGATCAACACTTTTCATCCATCAATCAAACTAAAAATGGAATACTCAAACACACACATCAACTTCCTAGACACCACAGTATACATCAGGGATGATACGCTTCACGCCTCTATATACAGGAAACCCACTGACAGATGCAACTACCTCCACAGTTGCAGCTTCCACCCCCAACACACAAAACATGCCATCATACACAGTCAGGCCATTAGATACCACCGAGTATGTTCTGACCCAAGAGACAGAGATAAACATCTCGGGACACTAGCAGACTCCTTCCATAAGAAAGGTTACAAGGACAAAACTATCAACACCAGAATAAACACAGCCTTGAGAACCCGAAGGGAAAATCTACTTCAGTAAAAAGAGAAAAAAACAAACAACCGTGTACCTCTACTAACCACATACAACCCAGCACTAGAAGGGATAAGAAAAATAATCAAAGATTTACAACCCATCATAACAGAGGATGGAACTCTGAAAGAAATATTCCAGCAACCCCCAATACTGGCCTTCAGATAACCCCCCCAACCTCAGAAATAAACTAATCAGTAGGAAACTTCCTTCTGATTATGATGTCACAAATAATGGAAGCAAACCCTGCAATAAGAAACGCTGCAAACTGTGCAACCAAATCAGTCCATCGAAAAGCGTCAGACACTCAAAAGGGATCTTCAATATCTCCGGATTGTACAGCTGCTGTCAGGAATGGACTGGCCAGCAATAGTGGGACTCAGCTGCCTTATGAGCTGCAGTACCAGGGCTGGCCAGCGGGTGCTCCCAGCAATCAGAGACTCAACCTTGCAGCCAGTCAAACACCTGGAACTAATTATACTGGTGTATTTAAGGGACATTCAGACCTGCAGACTCTGGTTTGGTGTTGTGTTTTTCCTGGGCCCTGTATCTTGTGCCTGCATCCTGTTCCTGTTCCTGTCCCTGTCCCTGTCTTGTTGCTGACCCCCGGCTTGATTCTGACCTCTGCTGACTTTTCCTGTTCTGATCCCTGGCTTGTGACCCCGACCATTCTCTGCCTGACCCCCTGTACCTACCTGCCTGTTAGTTGCTGTACCCTGCTCGTGACCTGACTATTCTCCGCTTACTCCCCTGTACCACGCTGCCCGCACGATATTGACCCGGCCTGCCTGACGACGCTTGCACTGTATGTAATGTTATCTGTGGGTGGTTTGGTTTGGTTCGTTTGCACTGTGTTATGTTTTAGTATTGCATTGCGTTTATGTTTGTATTGTTAGTGTTAATAAATTGTTTATAACTTATCTGAAGTCTGCGTTTCCCTGCGTCAGTCACACACCTCTGGTCATACCCGGGAGCCCTGACATTACACCAAGGCCAATCCTGACCAGAAGTGGCTGCACAGGGAAGCCATCTTGTTTGTTGATGGGAAGGATGGATCTGGATGAGGTTGCGTATTTATATCTGCTAGTGTTTGATGACAGAGAGTATGCTTATCAAACTCTGAAGGAGTATCCTTGGGATGAACTGCTAGAATGTATACGGCTCGCTCATGTTCTAGTAGATCAGGGCACAGAGTTCTCTGAGGTGCAGCCATTGATTGAGGTTTGTGCTGAGTTGGTTTCATCTGGTACCCCCCGAATGCAGGGATGAATTTTTGCCACCATTTAGTGCAGACCAGGTAGAGTCCCTGGTGTGGTTATTAGAGGATGATGTGGGTTACTTTCTGGAGCGTTATTCCACATGTTCACCATAGGTACTCAGAGATTGTATAAACGCAGTGCACTCTTTGGTCAGACAGGCTTTGTGTAAGCTCAGCTTTGTTCAACCCATACTGCAGACATGGACAGATTTGTTGCACCCAGCCTCAGTCAGCTTACAAAGACCCAGTCCTGCTTCTAATCTATTTCTCAAAGCTCTACTCCTGTATTCCCAACAGCTCCTCCAGTTACAGCCCAGTATACTTGGCTATCTACCGCATGTCCCGTACCCTGTTCCCACTCGCTGCACCCTATCCTGCCTTTAACCCTGTAAAGAAGCCCTCTGTAGCAACTGCTCCCTCCTCTGTTCCATCCTCCAGCTCTTCTCTGTCTCCAGCTGCTCCATTCGTTTGCAGACCTGCGTTTACTTGCAGTGCTCCAGTAGTTAAAACCAGAAAAAAGCGAAAATTCTTTCCAACCAGTACCATCCTGCCAGTATCCAAACCGGTGAACCTGCCTTCCGTGGTTCAGCCTGAAGCCTCTACTCAGCCTGATGCCTGTACTCAGCCTGATGCCTGTACGCAGCCTGATGCCTCTACTCAGCCTGATGCCTCTACTCAGCCTGATGCCCCTACTCAGCCTGAAGCCCCTACTCAGCCTGAAGCCCCTACTCAGCCTGAAGCCCCTACTCAGCCTGAAGCCTCTACTCAGCCTGATGCCTGTACTCAGCCTGATGCCTCTCTTCAGCCTGAAGCCTCTACTCAGCCTGAAGCCTCTACTCAGCCTGAAGCCTCTACTCAGCCTGATGCCTTTACTCAGCCGGATGCCTGCATTCAGCCTGATGCCTCTACCCAGCATGATGAACTGATCCAGCCTGACGATCCTATTAGGCCTGGTGACCGGATGCCCGCTGTCGAGCCAGACAATCCGGTACCTGATGACCCCCCCGGTGCCCGCTGTCATACCTGGTGACCCGATACCCGCGGTCGAGCCAGACAATCCGGTACCTGATGACCCGGTGCCCGCTGCGTGCCAATTGACTCAGAGCCCGCTGTCGTACCTGGTGACTCGGTGCCCACTGCCTTGCCAGATGACGCGGTGCTCGCTGGCGAGCCAAATGACCTGATGCCTGGTGACCCAGTGCCCGCTGTCATACCTGGTGACCCGATGCCCCGCTGTCGAGCCAGACGATCCAATGCCTGGTGACCCGGTGCCCACTGCCTTGCCAGATGACGCAGTGCCCGCTGGCAAGCCAAATGACCTGATGCCTGGTGACCCAGTGCCTGCTGTCATACCTGGTGACCCGATGCCCGCTGTCGAGCCAGACAATCCGGTACCTGATGACCCGGTGCCCGCTGTCGTGCCAATTGACTCAGAGCCCACTGTCGTGCCTGTTGACTCGGAGCCCACTGCCTTGCCAGATGACGCGGTGCCCGCTGTCGAGCCAAATGACCTGATGCCTGGTGACCCGATGCCCGCTGTCCAGCCAGACGATTCAATGTCTGCCCCAGTGCCCGCGGTCATGCCAGTTGACTCGGAGCCCACTGCCTTGCCAGATGACGCGGTGCTCGCTGTCGAGCCAAATGACTTGATGCCTGGTGACCCGATGCCCGCTGTCCAGTCAGACGATCCAATGTCTGACCCAGTGCCCGCGGTCATACCAGCTGACTCGGAGCCCACTGCCTTGCCAGATGACGCGGTGCCCGCTGTCGAGCCAAATGACCTGATGCCTGGTGACCCGATGCCCGCTGTCCAGCCAGCCGATCCAATGTCTGACCCAGTGCCAGCGGTCATGCCAGTTGACTCGGAGCCCACTGTCGTGCCTGGTGACTCGGTGCCCGCCGCTTCGCCTGGGGGGCCCGAGACCTGTCACTCCGCCTGGGGGTCCGGCGCGCCCGCCGCTCCGCCCTGGGGGTCCGGCGCCCGCCCGCCAACCGCCCCCTGGGGGCCCGAGACCTGTCGCTCCGCCTGAGGGCCCGAGACCTGTCGCTCCATCTGGGGGTCCGGCGCCCGCCGCTCCGCCTGAGGGCCCGAGACCTGTCGCTCCGCCGCCTGGGGGTCCGGCGCCCGCCGCTCCGCCTGGGGGCTCGATGCCTGTCGCCCCGCCTGGGGGCCCGATGCCTGTTGCCCCGCCTGGGGGCCCGATGCCTGTCGCCCCGCCTGGGGGCCCGATGCCTGTCGCAGCCGCCCCGCCTGGGGGCCCGATGCCTGTCGCCCCGCCTGGGGGCCCGATGCCTGTCGCCCCGCCTGGGGGGCCCGACGCCTGTCGCCCCGCCTGGGGCCCGCGCCTGTCGCCCCGCCTGGGGGCCCGACGCCTGTCGCCCCGCCTGGGGGCCCGGCGCCTGTCGCCCCGCCTGGGGGCCCGATGCCTGTCGCCCCTCCTGGGGGCCCGGCCCCCTGCCGCTGCTCCGCCTGGGGGCCCGATGCCGGTCGCCCCTCCTGGGGGCCCGATGCCGGCTCCCGCCCTTGGGGCCCGGATGCCGCTGCTCGCCTTGGGGCCCGCCGGCCTGCTGACCGCCCGAGGGCCGGTGCCTGCTGCCGGGGGCCCGTGCCTGCTGCTCCGCCCGGGGGCCCGGTGCCTGCTGCTCCGCCGGGGGCCCGGTGCCTGCTGCTCTGCCCGGGGGCCCGGTGCCTGCTGCTCCGCCTGGTGGCCCGCTGCCTGCTGCTCTGCCTGAGGCCCATGTGCCTGCTGCTCCCGCCGATGTAGCCCGCTGCCTGCTGCTTCGCCTGGTAATCCGATGTGCCTCTGCCCAGAGTCCGGCCCGATGTGCCTCTGCCCGGAGTCCGGTCCCGATGTGCCTCTGCCCGGAGTCCGGCCCGATGTGCCTCTGCCCGGAGTCCTGCCCGATGTGCCTCTGCCCCGGAGTCCTGCCCGATGTGCCTCTGCCCGGAGTCCTGCCCGATGTGCCTCTGCCCAGAGTCCAGCCCGATGTGCCTCTGCCGGAGTCCAGTCCGATGTGCCTCTGCCCGGTGTGCCTCTGCCCGATGTGCCTCTGCCCGGTGTGCCTCTGCCCGGAGTCCAGCCCGATGTGCCTCTGCCCGGAGTCCTGCCCGATGTGCCTCTGCCCGGAGTCCTGCCCGATGTGCCTCTGCCCGGAGTCCTGCCCGATGTGCCTCTGCCCGGAGTCCAGCCCGGTGTGCCTCTGCCCGATGTGCCGCTGCCCGGTGAGTCCTGCCCGGTGTGCCAGTCTTTGATATCCCGCCAGTTACCAGACCCGGGCGGTGGAACATTTTGCTCAGCTAGGACTGTTTGGAGCATCCTGAGGCCGCTCCTTGAGGGGGGGGGGGGTACTGTCAGGAATGGACTGGCCAGCAATAGTGGGACTCAGCTGCCTTATGAGCTGCAGTACCAGGGCTGGCCAGCGGGTGCTCCCAGCAATCAGAGACTCAACCTTGCAACCAGTCAAACACCTGGAACTAATTATACTGGTGTATTTAAGGGACATTCAGACCTGCAGACTCTGCCTTGGTGTTGTGTTTTTCCTGGGCCCTGTATCTTCTTCCTGCATCCTGTTCCTGTCCCTGTCCCTGTCTTGTTGCTGACCCAGCTTGATTCTGACCTCTGTTGACTTCTCCTGTTCTGATCCCTGGCTTGTGACCCCGACCATTCTCTGCCTGACCCCCTGTACCTACCTGCCTGTTAGTTGCTGTACCCTGCTCGTGACCTGACTATTCTCCGCTTACTCCCCCTGTACCACGCTGCCCGCACGATATTGACCCGGCCTGCCTGACGACGCTTGCACTGTATGTACTGTTATCTGTGGGTGGTTTGGTTTGGTTCGTTTGCACTGTGTTATGTTTTAGTATTGCACTGCGTTTATGTTTGTATTGTTAGTGTTAATAAATTGTTTATAACTTATCTGAAGTCTGCGTTTCCCTGCGTCAGTCACACACCTCTGGTCATACCCGGGAGCCCTGACAGCTGCACCTCTAGTAATGTTGTGTACCTTATCCAGTGCAGAAAATGCAGCAAAGGATCTTATGTTGGCGAAACAGGACAGAAGTTCCAAACAAGGATGAATTTGCATAGACATACCATCAACAAACATATAGAAGATGACTTTTGCACACCTGTGGGACACCATTTCGCACAACCAGACCACACACAATGGGAGACCTCAATATTTTAGTTCTTAAAGGAAATTTCAAATCCATTCAGGAAAGAAAAACTTTTTAACTAAGAATGATAATTTTATTTGACACAAGAGGTAACAGCCTTAATTTAGACATGGGATTCCTCAATCATTATCCAACAGTTTTATAACCCCTCTGTGAGTGTTGTTCTCCCCCACCAGTCTTTGCTTTTGCTGTGTCTTATCGCTAGTCTTTTTTTTTTCCATCCCCCACATCTCTTCTAACATTCTGCTAAACTTTGTTAAGTAGTACTGCCTGGACCTTGAAGAAGGGGACATTCCCCGAAAGCTTGTCCTCAAAATTGTATGTTAGTGCAAATAAAAAAAGTATCACGTCAGTACTCAATTGTTTCTAGATTGGGAAAAGCACTGTCCTGTTTGCTGCCATAGACTCCTCCAAAAGCTGTAAAGTCTTCAATGTTCAACTAAAAAATGTATGTGACCGTCGTACAGAGGGCGCTTCCAACCTTATTGTGAAGTGCTGTGCAAAAAGTAGCACCCTAAATCCCATTGGTTTTTTTTTTTTTTTTTGTTTTTTTGGTTTACACAAGTAAAAATGAATGTACCTAATTGTGTTGCTGCTCTCAAAATAAATGTATAATATTAAACTATTTCTGTATTAGATTAGTGAACCTTCTTTTATTTCGAGTGGAATGTACTATTAACTACCATACAAATAATTATTTTTATTCTGTACACATGTAAGGTGTTAAATAAAAATACCCCCCCCCCCCCCAAAAAAAAAAAACAAAAAACACTTTTTAGCAGCTCTGAAGTGGATTTTCAGCTTTCATTGAAATCAGCTGGTGGATAGGTATAGTCTTCAACATATCAACCTGGGCCTTGGGGTTTTTTTTTTAACTCACCAGTTGCAATCTGGGGAACACCATTCAATTTGTAAATAAAGTCAAATAGTTCTGATAATTAATGTATTGCATACAACAGGAAATCTATTTGCATGTGTGGAAACCATGAGCACACATAAAAATTCACACACAAATGGTCTCAGGGCCAGCTCCTGGACCAGAATTGCATCGTCATATTTGCGGAAGTGCTGTATGTTTGCATGCACCCAGAGACCAAGGAATGTCCGTTCCTTGGCCAAAAGTAAACACAGCAGCTGGAAGCAGGTGACACTTACCAAACTCAAAAATGCAGAAACAACAAACAGGTTTTAATTGTGTGTATTTATTTGCTCCAATGACCACTTCTTGCAATCATGGCTGAAGAGAAGGCGCTGCTGCTGGAACTGGCTTTGTTTGCAAGTGCCTTCAGCAGTCATGGCTTTTTTTCCACCATCGCATACTTTGAAAACATGCAGAACTCTGATTTCTATTACTGGTTTTCCTTAGAGAAGAGGAAATTATACACCTCTATGAGCTCACACATACATACATACTAGTGCCAACTAACCTACCAGCACGTCTTTGAAGTGTGGGTTAGAAACAGGCACAGGGAGAACATGCATACTCTAGGCACTTGGAGCCGTGGTTGGGATTTGAACCAATGATGCTAGGTAGATATGCTGGCCACTATGCTGCCCTTAACATTAAGTAGAATATATAGCATTACCATGATTCGAGAATTAAGATATATAAATATAAGTAGATATTATAAAAAAAATCAAATTAGACATTAAAAATTATTTGTCACATAATCAGAGATATAACTGTTATGGATTTGAAAGGGAACGCCATAGGCAAAAAATTATAAAAAAAAAAAGTGTGACTTCCCCCCAAAATCACTAACACACTCTTATATGAGCATACAGTCCTGCAGGCCAGGAAAGAGTAGTGGAAGAGCATGCCCCCCCCCCCAAAAAAAAAAATAGTTCAGGTACTTATATAGCACTGTCAATTTACACAGCGCTTTACATATATATATTTTACATTCGCAACAGGTCCTGCCTTCTAGGAGTTTACAAGCTAAAGTCCCTAACTCACATTCATATACTAGTGACAAGTTAGACAGGAGGCCAAACAAATACCAGCATGTCTTTGACGTGTGGGAGGAAACCCACACAGGCAGAACATGCAAACTCCATGCATTTAGTGCTATTGATGGGATTTGAACCGCCAACCCTAGTTCTGCTAGGCAGAAGTGCTAACCACTAAGCCACAATGCTGACCATACAGTAGAGTACATAGTAGTACCATTATTCAAGAATTAAGATACATAATTATAGGTAGATATTATAAGAAAATTCTAATTAGATATTAAAAATTATATGTCATATAACAGAGATATAACTGTAAATTTTAGATACATATTTATTATTAGAAAATAATATGCATTACTCTGTAATAT